CCAATGACGCTGTGTGTCTCAGCCATCAGTCAACCAATGACATTGCACAATGTCTTTGGTTTTTAGGACACAGATGGAGGGCCAGTGGCTGAGTGAACTGGCCAAATTGTTCCACAAACTGTGAGTTCGGTTTGGTCTGATGGTCAAAGTAAACCTAAGCCACATCATGTCAGAAATGCCAAAAGTCAGATGCTCCCATGTAGCAATAAGAGGGCAAGCAGCCTGTGTGTACGCAGATCCACCACTTTACAGGCAGGTTAAGGGGACCCCCCAGGCATGAGTTATGAAGGAATTTTTCATTTTTATTCTTACCCTTTAAGTCATGTAAAAAATCACTGTTCCTTTAAAAACTTTTATTTCCCATTGATTCCTGTCCCCCAGGGCAGTAGCCGGACCCCCATACACTTTTTATGGCCAATACTTGCATATAAGCACTCTTAAAGGGAACAATCGTTTCTAAATGTTTGAGCCCCATTGACTTGCATTGAGTTCGAGTTCGTATTCAAGCTTTTTGGCCGCTCAAATACGAACCGACCTCCGGGGTGTCCTGCCCATCACTATTCTAAAACTGAAGTTGAATTGTGAATCCTCTGGTGTCTGATAAGCTTTGAGCTCATTTTAAAAGTTTTGTCAAAAATCAGAACATTGAAATGGCTTCTCTCCAGTGGGAACCGTCTGCTTAGTTCATAGTATATGAGGTTGAATAAAGACACATGTCCATCAAGTCCAACCTATAGTGTGTGTGTGTGCATAGGTCCCTGAGTCATCTCGTTATGAGGAGTACTTGTACCCCTGTATATTACCGTTTCTCAGGAAATTGTCCAAAAGCTTCTTGAACGATTCCACACTATTAGCCGAAATCACTGCTTGTGGCAAAGAGTTCCAGACCCTAACCGCGCGAACTGAGAAGAACCCCCTTCGCCCCTTGTGTTTGAATTTTTTTTCTACCAGTTTCAGGTGGTGGCCTCTAGTCTTTGTTACGGAATTAATCGTAAAGAGTTTGTTGCTAATGTTGCTGTGACTATGGAACATTTTCAACCTGGCACTGTAATCTATTATTCAGTTTATGGTCTACAGTGAACCCCAAATCTTTCTCCATTACAGACTTCCCTAGCGGCATACCCATTATTGTATAACCCATTTGCTTGTTTTTTATCCCAAAGTGCATAACTTTGCATTTATCGACATTAAACCTCATCTGCCATAAAGTTGCCCACTCCCCTATTTTATCCAGGTCCTCTTGTAAAGTTATACTATCTTGGTTTGTTTCTATAACCCTCCCAATTTTGGTATCGTCAGCAAACACTGAGATATCGCTGTTTACTCCGTCCCCGATGTCGTTAATAAACAGGTTGAATAGCATGGGGCCCCGCCCAGAACCCTGAGGCACACCGCTAATGACACTAGCCCAGTCTGAAAGGGCGCCATTTATTGACACTCTCTGTACCCGTTCCTTTAACCAGTTCTCTATCCATGTACACACCCTTCCATCTAACCTCATCTGCCATAAAGTTGCCCACTCCCCTATTTTATCCAGGTCCTCTTGTAAAGTTATACTATCTTGGTTTGTTTCTATAACCCTCCCAATTTTGGTATCGTCAGCAAACACTGAGATATCGCTGTTTACTCCGTCCCCGATGTCGTTAATAAACAGGTTGAATAGCATGGGGCCCAGCACAGAACCCTGAGGCACACCGCTAATGACACTAGCCCAGTCTGAAAGGGCGCCATTTATTGACACTCTCTGTACCCGTTCCTTTAACCAGTTCTCTATCCACATACACACCCTTCCATCGATGCCCATAGCTCTCAGCTTGTATAGTTCTAACTTCAATCTAAAAGCTTTGTTACATTCAGATCACTAATATGACTTCTCTCCAGTGTGATCCCTCTGGTGTACAATAAGTTGTGTTCTCCATGAAAAACATTTGTCACATTCAGAACACTGATATGGCTTCTCTCCAGTGTGAATCCTCTGGTGTCCATTAAGACATGTTTTTGTTTGAAAAGCTTTGCCACATTCAGAACACTGATATGGCTTCTCTCCAGTGTGAATCCTCTGGTGTGCAATAAGATGTGTTTTTGTTTGAAAAGCTTTGCCACATTCAGAACACTGATATGGCTTCTCTCCAGTGTGAATCCTCTGGTGTCCATTAAGACATGTTTTTGTTTGAAAAGCTTTGCCACATTCAGAACACTGATATGGCTTCTCTCCAGTGTGAATCCTCTGGTGTGCAATAAGATGTGTTTTTGTTTGAAAAGCTTTGCCACATTCAGAACACTGATATGGCCTCTCTCCAGTGTGAATCATCTGGTGTACATTAAGATGTGCTTTTGTTGTGAAAGCTTTATCACATTCAGAACACTGATATGACTTCTCTCCAGTGTGAATCCTCTGGTGTCCATTAAGAAATTTTTTTGTTTGAAAAGCTTTGCCACATTCAGAACACTGATATGGCTTCTCTCCAGTGTGAATCCTCTGGTGTGCAATAAGATGTGTTTTTGTTTTAAAAGCTTTGTCACATTCAGAACACTGATACGGCCTCTCTCCAGTGTGAATCCTCTGGTGTCTATTAAGATGTGCTTTTAATTTAAAAGCTTTGTCACATTCAGAACACTGATATGGCTTCTCTCCAGTGTGAATCTTCTGGTGTCTATTAAGATGTGTTTTTGTTTGAAAAGCTTTGTCACATTCAGAACACTGATATGGCCTCTCTCCAGTGTGAATCATCTGGTGTACATTAAGCTGTGCTTTTGTTGTGAAAGCTTTATCACATTCAGAACACTGATATGGCCTCTCTCCAGTGTGAACCCTCTGGTGTGCGAATAGAATTATCTTCTCTGTAAAAGCTTTGCCACATTCAGAACATTCATATGGCCTCTCTCCAGTGTGATCCCTCTGGTGTGCGATTAGAATTATCTTCTCTGTAAAAGCTTTGCCACATTCAGAACACTGATATGGCTTCTCTCCAGTGTGAATCCTCTGGTGTACATTAAGATATGCTTTTGTTGTGAAAGCTTTATCACATTCAGAACACTGATATGAATTCTCTCCAGTGTGAATCCTCTGGTGTGCATTAAGATGTGCTTTTGTTTTAAAAGCTTTGTCACATTCAGAACACTGATATGGCCTCTCTCCAGTGTGATTCCTCTGGTGTGCGATTAGTACTATCTTATCTCCAAATGCTATGCCACATTCAGAACATTCATATGGCCTCTCTCCAGTGTGAATCCTCTGGTGTACAATAAGCTGTGTTTTTGTTTTAAAAGCTTTATCACATTCAGAACACTGATATGGCTTCTCTCCAGTGTGAATCATCTGGTGTCTGATTAGTAATATCTTCTCTCTAAAAGCTTTGCCACATTCAGAACATGCATATGGCTTCTCTCCAGTGTGAATCCTCTGGTGTACAATAAGCTGTGTTTTTGTTTGAAAAGCTTTGTCACATTCAGAACACTGATATTGCCTCTCTCCAGTGTGAACCCTGTCATGTATAATAAGATGTCTTTTTGTTTGAAAAGCTTTGTCACATTCAGAACACTGATATGGCCTCTCTCCAGTGTGAACCCTCTCATGTAAAATAAGTTGTGACTTATATGTAAAAGCTTTATCACATTCAGAACACTGATATGGCTTCTCTGCATTGTGAACCTTCTGATGTCTGATGAGCTTTGCCTCCATTGTAAAACTTTTGTCAGATTCCAAACAAGAATTGGCCTTTGAAATGACTTCTCTTGTGTTCAGGGGTTTTACTTCACTGTAAAGCCACTGCGACTTCTAGAACACTGAAATGACTTCTCTTGTCCTCTGATGTTGGATCAATGCTGCGGAATATCCAAAACCTTTATGCCCTTCAGAACACCGTTATGCCTTGTGTCCTGTGTGATATGCCTTGTGTCCTGTGTGATATGACCTTTGTCCTGTGTGATATGTCTTGTGTCCTGTGTGATATGTCTTGTGTCCTGTGTGAATCTTCCAGTGAACTGTAGAAAACCCTTCTAGTCACTTAGATCACGTATATGGCTTGTCTCCGATATGACTCAATTCTGCTTATGAAGACCAACTTCACCGAAATCCCGGCTCATCAATAAACCTGTACAGATAGATAACATCAATCAATCACCAGAACTCTATACATTTGGATAATTTAAAGTTATTTTCTATTTTTCTAAGTTATTCTCTATACAGAAAGAATATGTCCTGTACATGGATACATGTATGTATTTCTAGCTTGTAGGATAGCTTGAGGAATCACAGAAGTGTGTGTTAATCGCTTGGCTGCTACACAACCCTCAGAGTGCACCAGATTGTATGTAAGATTTGTATCTGTGTGTGTTCTGCTATTGCTTGCACCCAGAGCTGCCATCAGAAACTTTGGGGCCCCTTACACAGCTTTAGGCCTGGGCCCCGTGCCACCCCCAAACAACACACCATAGGCCTGTCCACTGGCTGTCCCACCGGGTACCTCAGTGCAGCCACTTTTATTTTAACACTCTTACAACTTAATATATAAAATTTGCATACAATAGTTTTGAACCACCAAAAGAAAGCAGGACACCGCACCCCTATATCATTATATAACAACAACAAAACAAATTCAGCGGGGCTTTTTAGGTGTCACACCCGGACTATTCGGGACATAAAAACATACATAGTGTCCTTATTCAGTTGTATATTATTTTCATCAATACAGCTGAATTATTTGAGGACACGTGGGTGCAAGCCGTTTGGTCCAGGTGCTTTGTTTACCTTCATTTTGTCTGTTTCTGGACCATATCAATAGTCAGCCATTGTGGTTCGGTAGAGGGTATTGAGGTTCGGTAGAGGGTATGGCAGAGGGTATGGCACTGCTATCCTCATTATGGACTTGCGTTACATCGTGTTCCTTGGTGTGCACAGAGCTGAAGAAAGTATTTAATAGATTTGCCTTCTCTTTGTCCCCAGTTACCAACTCTGTGTTATCCCTTAAGGGGCCAACATGCTCTGACCTAATTTTTTTACTATTAATATATTTAAATAATTTTTGGGGGTTAGTCTTGCAATCTTTTGCAACCTGTCGTTCATTTTGAATCTTTGCGAGCTTTATTTCCTTTTTACATATTTTATTATATTCTTTGTAACTTTCAAATAACGACAGACAGTGTTTCTTCATTTTTATATTGTTTAAACGCCCTTTCCTTATTGTTTATGGATTTTTTAACATTGGATATCAGCCACATGGGTTTTACTTTTAGCCCTGTAAACTTATTGCTTACTGGAATATATTTTGCCGTACGGTTGCTAACAATTGTTTTAAAACATTCCCATTTTTGTTCAGTGTTTTTTGATGAAAATATTCCCTCCCAGTTTAGGGTTAGGGCCCATCAATGTTGGCCGGCCCATCATTTACTTCCATGCCTTCCAAGATATTTAGAATATCCTTACTGTCCTTCAGGAAGGCCTTTGTTTTATTCACTAATGGCTGTAGGTGGCAATCTATGTATTCACCCAATCTCGCAGTTCGGGAATTTATCCCACTAACTATGGGTCTTCCTGGGGGAGCTTCCATGCTTTTATGTATTTTAGGCAGAAAATACATGATTGGAGTCCGACTAACTGACTGAAGGTATTAAATATTCTTTCTTTCTTTCTTTCTTTCTTATGTTAAAAGTTATTTTTTGAATGCTTTTTGAATTATTGTTTCCAATTCTTTTCTAAATTCACTGATAGGATTTATTATTTTATTTTTTATATGTATTTTGTGTGTGTGTGATATTGTTCATTTCTTTCTCATAGTAGTCTTTATCCATAATCACTACCCCTCCATCTTTATCAGCAGGTCCAACTACTACATCTTTACTCTGTTCTAGTAATAGGATCCCTTGGTTTATGAAGGCTTTGTTAAGAGCATTTTTACATTCCAAGGTTTTTAAATCCTCTTCTACAAGGTTTTTGAATAACTCCACAAAATGATTGGCCGACGGTTTAGGGTTAAAGATGGATTGAATTTTTAGGGGTGTATATATATATATATAATTTCCTCTTAATAGGGAGGTTGGTATTCTTGGGTACCTCTGGTAGGGAGGAATAATAATTTTTAATATTGATTTTCCTAATTAATTTTCGAATGTCAAAACATGTTTCAAATGTATTTAGATTGCTTATTGGGGCATATTTTAGGCCGAAATTAAGGATCTTCAGGTCCAATGCTACTAATAAGAATGATGAAATTAGAAAGTTCATCTCATGCCATAGCAAGTATGTCACCTACTTACTGGAATGTCCGTGTGGACTACAATATATTGGTAGAACCACCAGACAACTTAAAAAAAGACTTGAGGAGCATATCAATAACATCAAAAAAGGTTTCAACAAACACAGTCTTTCGAGACACTTTAAAATGTTTCACAATCGTGACCCTAAACACTTAAAAATAGTTGGGATAGACCAAGTTGAGAAACACTGGAGGGGTACTAATCTCACCCGAAATATCTTTTCGGCTTTTTTCTCTCTCATTGCATAGTAGACACTCTGGTGTATCAGGTGTGAACTAGATCCAGGGTTTCGTAGCAGAGAGACATCAAAGGGTTAAACAGTTAGAGTAATAGAGGAAAACAATAATGTGATTAACTTACCTACCTTCCTTCTTAATAAAAGCCATATCAGTTTGTTACAACGTGGGCTGTCTTTCTCCCCGGTGGAGGGGATGGATGAGTTCACAATCTATAAGGATCTGAATTTATTTCTAAGGAAGGTATATCTGCGTTACTTACATCAGAATAAAGAAGTAGTAGGTACATTGAAACAAACAAATGCCAATACTGTGGACGCACAGGACTTGCAGGCCTTGAATGATTTAGTTACCCTATTAGAGGAAAATATGGAGGAAGACATTGAATCCACTATGCCTCACTGTGAAAGGAGAACAACGCATTTACAGAAGAAATCTAGCACCATGCGTCCCTTACTAATAATAGGTATATTAGCCTCTTCAGAGATCTGGTACAAAGAGATTTAACTGCAATAGACTGGACCCAGTGGAGTAGAGATAACCGATGTAGAGAAGAAAGGCGAGCTCTTAATGAACTGAAAAGTATTCCCAATTTAGTGATTAAACCCAGTGATAAAGGTGGGAACGTAGTCATCCTACCAGAGGAGATGTATGTGAGGGAGGCACAACCCCTCCTAGGAGACAAAAACACCTATACCAAACTTGACACATCACCCTTTGACAGAGTAAAACAACCTTCATTTCAAGTTAGAATTGAAGAAAGAGGCGGGGCTCATCTCCTTAAAAGAGCACAAGTTCATGAAAGTTGAATGGTTTAATGTGCCAACTTTTTACATTATTCCTAAGATCCACAAGGATAGGATGAATCCACCAGGGAGACCAATAGTCTCTGGTGTAGGTGGACCTTTGGAAAATATGGGAAAGTACATTGATACTCTGCTTAAAGAATTAGTCATACAGTTCCCTTCCTACGTTAAGGACACAGGGGATGTCCTTAGAAAGATTCAGGACATGAACATAGATAAGGGGTCCCTCTTGGCCAGTATTGATGTAGAATCTCTATACACCTCAATCCCGCATAACTGTGGCTTAGAAGCAGTTGAATTCTTTAGAAACAGGGTTTCCAGAGGCAGGCCCACAAAATGAATTCCTTCTAGAATTTTTAGAGTTTGCCCTCCAGAATAATTTCTTTCAGTTTGCAGGTGTATCCTATAAACAAATCAAGGGGACCTCAATGGGGGCACCGTGGGCACCCGCCTATGCCTGCCTCCATCTGGGATTTTGGGAGGTACAGGTAGTCTTTGTACATCATTAGTACCTGAGACGGGTTCAGTTGTGGCTCAGGTACATTGATGACATTTTGGTGGTCTGGCGGGGCTCCAGAGAGGACTTCTCACTATTTGTGGGTGACACCCGAAATATTAAACTAACATTTGAAATAGAGGAAGCCGAGATCTCCTTCCTGGACCTCCGAATTAGGTCCTGTGAGGCAAGGTTACAAACCAGGACATTTCAGAAACCCACTGCAGCCAGCACACTACTGCATGCGACTAGCCACCACCCAGATTCTCTGGTAAGGGGTATCCCTACAGGACAGTTCCAAAGGATTAAGCGGAACTGTTCAGAGACAAGCGACTATAGGGAAGAGTCTGCATCCCTCTACCGGAAATTTAGGAGGAGGGGCTATTCACATGCAGTACTTAGACGCAGCCAGCAAATAATAGGCAAGAAAACAAGGAGAATCCATTTTGATAAATGAGGGTGGAAAAAAAGAACAGAGATTGGATGATCCCGTCCGTCTGGTTACACAATATGGATCCAAATGGCATGAATTCCGAGGCATCCTAAAAAAACATTGGCACGTCCTACAGCTCTGTCCGAGTTTATCTACAATTGTGGGAGAATACCCCCTAATGGTTGCACGACGAGCAAGAAATGTAAAGGACCATTTGGTCCATTCCGAGAATCCCCCCAGCCCTTTGAATACCTGGTCATCAGATCTCAGTAAGGTAAAGGGGATGTTCCCCTGCGGAAAATGTCAAATCTGTCCGCATGTGGAAAAGACACAAATCTTTAGGGACTCAGATGGTAAAAAGGTCTTTCATATCAATCATTTCATCATTTGTGCAACGACGAGGGCGGTTTATCTATTGGAATGCCCCTGTAATAAATGTTACATGGGGAAAAACAAAACGCCAGCTAAGAATTAGAATTGGTGAACATATGCGGGATATGAAATGTAATGACAAGGACAGTCCTATAGCACAACATGTCACACAATTCCACAATAGTCAAACAAAAGGTCTGAAAGTAAAGGGAATGTTTGTTCTAGATCTGCCCCGGGGGAGG